AGCGCCTCTAGTGATTGCCAAATTAAAAGTGAAATGTGGTATAGCCATGCTAGCGTATGGGCAAGAGCAGGATTTAGTTGTCCACCTAGATGCAAGGTTCAATCCTGCGTGAATACAAATTTTGCAAGTGTTAACAGTTTCTCACCATTCTTTTTACTTTTCTTTGGTGATTTTTATAACTTTATTCCCAGGATGGAATATTAAAATTGTTTTTACCGTTTGATTCATGCTCACGGGTGCGATATTTGATTTTTCTTTGTTAATTGGCCATTCTATATCGGAATTGACTGCAGCTGCGACTGCGTATACTTTTACACCGATTTTATTCTGGTTATTAAAAGTGTTACATAAATCCAAAATTAATCTCAAATTAAGATCTGTCCGACCAGCATAATTAACGACTATACGAGAATCTGTATGAATGAGAATTATTAAACCAACAAGAGTGAGATTAAACGGAAGAAATAACAGTCGGCCGAATTTTAGAACAAAATTATCAGAAAGCCGCGGGAAATCATCAAATATGTTACAACTGCTGTTTAATCCAGATCCAAATTCTCCTTCGCAGTTTTCAAGTTGGCAAGACGCTGTTCCAAAGCCTCACGGATATACGCGATATGTTTAGCATCCATGGTTGCTCGAGCCTTCAGCGTATTTACCAGCGCCTTGCAGTTATCCATAATATCCTTTTCGCGTTCAACCTGTTCCAGTAACTTGTCGGTTGCGTCTGGCTTCTTAATAGCATCCGGTTCTGCAGTGCTCACTTCATTGTCAGGCTTTTCGGCCTTCTCTTTGGTCTTCTGGTTCTTCTTCTTCGCATCCGCATTCTTCTCTGGGGCAACATATTTCGGACGGCCGCCCATAGCTTTCAGCTGAGTGAGCGTGATAATTGGTTCTCGCTCAATGCGTCCGTCTTTGCTAGCCCGGATTACCAAATTCACGTTGGCGGTATTATTCTTTGCCGGCTCGATTGCGTCCAGCCGCTCCATGACGCCATCGACAACCAAATCCCCGTCTTGTCCCACGTAACCGAAGCTACAATCGGCAACGTGCTGTTCTGTGTCTCTTCCGTTGACTGTAACCTTCATGGTGCCCATCTTGATATCTGCAAAATGCGTTATTTTACAGAAAGTACGATAAGTTGCAGCATGTAGAGTGACTCTGCTTTTAAATGAAAATTCACACAAATCACATAGAGCAAATATTCGTCGCATATTTCTGTCGTGGACTACTTCCTAACCGAAAATACGTAATACATACTGATGGTCTGGGCTAGAGTGGTGCAGAGACAGCAGCCGCGAATGCTTCGTAGCCACAGGTCGATGCAACTGTCCACGAAAAGATTCCCGTAGACGACGACGATATCTTTCTTTTCAACCAGTTGGCGCAGCCCGCGCTCCAGCCAGTAGTCTACGTCATGCAGATGTACGTCGAACGTACAGATCCAGTGTTGGATTTCGGTGCGTGACATGGCATATCGGCCGTGGTAAAGGATCACGCGAATCATCCGACGAAACTTGCTGGTTGTGTCGATTACCTTCGTCTCTGGATCGCGGTTATTCTTTACTTCCTCGGCCACTTCGAGCACGAAACGTCCATCGCGGCTCATCTTCTTGAGCAAGATTCCAGCATTAATAGCGTCGCCGAGGAAGAAATCCACTCGTTCTTCCGTGAAATCATCGTGCATTTCCACAACGAATTTCTTGATAGATGACATGTCCACATAAGATCCCGTGATGTCAGCCTCAAGAATGCACGCGTGGGCTGCCGTATGCATCGCCAATTGTCGACGGCTTCGGATGGTTTCGTCTGGCTGCAGAGGCTCCGCCATGGCAAACTGAACCGATTCGCGAGTCCGTCCCTTCCAGTATTCGTAGTGGGCAATCGCGTCCGCTTCGGGCGATGGCAGAGGCTCTCCAGTTGGCCCCACAGGCTGTGCTGACATGATGATTAGTAAAGATTAAAATTGGAATGCAATTCAAGGAATAGAATACGCTAGTAAATGAGAAACAGAAAAATCCCGTCACCGCAAAAAAGATACAATTGATATTGTTGGGTCCTTCACTTTCACTTTAAGTAATAAACAGCTGATATTCTCTGTGCTGGAGAACCGGGATTCTGTCACGCGTCAGCCGCCCTGTTAAGGCAATGCTATCGGAAACTGTGTAGTTTTCGATCTCTGTTTTGAATTAATCCTAGCCGCGTGTTTCGGCTTTACTGATTTGTTTTTGCTGCTCCCTTCCAGCTTGAAGTCAAGTATCCTTCAAAATTTTATACTTTTATCTTCAAACGTTTAATTTTATGGAGCTTTACTTCACCGTGATTAATCGGTGTTTCACTGTTTTTAATCACTGCTCCTACTTGCTGTATTGTCTACAATGGAGTCCGGGCTCATCATTCAGCTGTGTTACTGATGATTGTACGTTTTATCCAATGACAGATGAAGAGCATCTGCGTAAAGGTGGCATCCTCTATGTAACGTATAACCCGGATGCACCGCGGCCGGTCTTCAAGACCAAGCAGACGGCTCGCAAACGAGCGCATTCCGGAGTTTTTCCAAGAATGGCTGTTGCGGATAAGCGCGGTGAGATGGTTATTTCTTCAGCTTATTTTCCTGGCCTAAATCGCTTCCACCGTTATTATCCTCGGCTTTATTTGTCTCGTTTTCTGTTTTGTAATGGCCAATTGATTAATCGTTACGATTTGTCCTCGATCACTATGAAATTACCTACTGAGCTCGCGTTTGAATTACGACGCCAATTCCTTTATCTTCACCCTACTTTTATTCGTTTATTTGAAGAATTAGGGAAACGACAGGAGAAGGATGCGGTCGCGCGTCAGGCGGTTGCTGATGCTGGTGTCGTGGAAAGTGCTGAACCGCAGGCTTCAACTTCTGCTGCACGCCCGTATAACTTTTCGCACTCGTGGGGAAAAGCGCAAGTATAAGGAGGTCTCGCCGTCCTCGTCTTCTGCGCCAAGTGACGTTTCCGTTTCGGATGATGGGGAGGACCGTGAGGATATTTCGGCTGTATTATCCCCTGATCAGAGCGCTGATGTCGAAGCTGATGAGAACGTGGATATGGAAGTTGATTGTGATGGCGACGAGGGGTCCGATCTGGAAAAGATGGATGTTGATCCACTGCCGTCTCTGCAGCCAGTTGCTCCAGCTGTGCCACCTGTTGCCGCTGTTGCCCGTGAGGATTCACCTGAAATTGCGGAGCCGACTGTTTATGCCCAACAGCCGCATTCTGATGAATTCTGAATCCACTATCATTCATTTTTATCCTTCATGCTGTATATTTTTGCTAGAATTTGATGATCTGTCATTTCGTTTTTGATCTTAATCTGCATATTAGCTGGCCAAACTTTGTGATTCGTTTTTGATCGGTAGCCCTTAGTGTACAATTTAAGGAATTTTGCGTTTATTTTCATCCAATTTTTATTTTTCAATTTTACGCGCTCTGAGTCAATGAACTGGTCGTTTAGTATTTTCTATCTGCGCTGTAGCTATCAATATCAATGCCCAATCTTTCGTTGTACCTGGATTAGATCTGATCTGTTGATTAATTTGCATTAAAGGATATAGCGCGAAGCGCTGATTGGTTGCTTTTCTTACCTGTATGGAATCTGCCGCATTCTCAGTCTTACATCGACAGACCGGTATAAAATCGTCTGCGCGTAGTGTGCAGAAATCGGCATTGTGGATTTTTCGTTTCGGCCTTCTGGCACGTTGGATTTCCAGTGCGTATAGACTGTAATTTTGACGCTTTTCTCTTTGCACTTTTAGCGTTAAAGGTCACTAGTTTTCTTTAGTTTGGGCATGCCGCCTATTGATCCTAACCGTGCTTTCGATAAATTGGTAGACGCCATTTTTCATTCGTCTTCCAACCAGCAGCAACAGTATAATGCCGGTTATAATCACCGAGGAAGGGGTGGAGCCCGTGGTGCTTACCGTGGCAACTTTCGTCCGTACGGCCGAGGAAATCATAGGAATTTTGGAGACAATAACTTGCGTCGTGGAAACGATCATTGGCGTCGTAATGGCCGACCTCTGGGCGCACCGGAAGTTATTGAAGTACCTGATGGAGTCGATCACCCAGTTGCTCCAGTGGAAGCTGCCGCCGCAAACATGGAGGTTGACGACCCGGGCAACCAAGCAGCGAATGCACCGAATCCGGTCCAAGGCAACGGAAATGTGGCTGCAGGTGAGCCCAATGGTGTCAACCCTGCTGTCAATCTACATGGCCCACCAGCCTTGAATGCCGTTGTCGTTCCTCCGGCTGTCATTCCACCTGCGCAGCAGCAAGCCCCGCAGAACGCTGAATTTCCCGGTTTGCCACCAAACGTCTTGCCCCTTGCCGAAGTGCCGATTGTCCGCGATGCCCGCGACCGTTCTCCGGCTGATCGCCCACGTGCGCCGTCTGCACCTTCCGGTCCTGTTGGGTCTGCTGAGCATAATTTTGTGCCTGGTTATTTGGCCCAGCAGCAGCAGCGTGAATTGGATGCTGATCGTCGACGACAGATGGCTGCTGATGTTTCTCGCCGTTTGGATGCCGCTGCAGCGTCTAGCTCTGGTATTACTGGATTGATTTCATTGGCTCCCAGTGCTGGCAAGTAACCTTGAATAACCTTTGTCCTTGATCTTTTGCTTTCTTTGATCTCGCCTTCTTACTGGCTTTGTGTTTTCGAATGATTTTGCTTTACCAAAGCCGTGTCGATCTTACTGTTATTCTTTTGCTGGTTTAAATTTACTCTTATCTACCAGTAATGTCTCATGATCTTTATGCGGATATTTTTGCTTGTTTGTTGTTGTTGACCGTTGTTACTGGATGATGTAGTACTCGAGAATTCGTAAGAATACTACTGGTTAGTTGATTTGGTGCTTTTGCTCGTTTAATCCATAGTTCTACAGAATCGCACATAATTACATTTTAAGATTTTAATTTCACAATTAATAAAGCTTTATGCCGTATACTGTACATACACACTACCATCCCAACTCAAACGGCACAGTATCAGTAGTTCATAGTTCGCCTTCCTGGATCCTTGGACCTCCGCCCTGCCAAACCCGTGGACTTCCGGATGCCTCTTCGCCAAGGATTCCACATACTAACTCACTCGGAGTCGCGGCGTACAGTCACATTGGGCATCGGATGGACGCGTGGATTGTGCGGTGGATCGGGATCAGGATGGACGGAAGTGCACAATCGCACTGGGATGTTGCGGGATGGGTTGTTTATTTTGGCACGGCCAAGCATCGTTCGTGGGGGTGACGTGTGGGAATAGGATCACACGCCGGAGTACGTACTGGATGCTGACTGTCCGCCTTCCACCTGCAACATAACGGATAATCTAGTCAATCTCTTCTGTGATTTTCTGTTCTCTTTTACTAGCGATGTATATGATGTCATAACGCGAAGTCTATATAAGTTCTGGTGATGCCTAATATCGGAATCAGTAGTCTGAGATTTACTTCTGAGACTGCTTCTAATTACGATTTCCTAGCGTTGTGAACTGTGATGTGAATTGGATAAAGAGACAGCAATACTTGTTCCTTCTGATGTACATGATCGTTCCCGGATTATTGCATAGAACACAGGTTTGCTCGTGACACAATCGTCCTAGCTCTTGCCGATCCTCACAGGACTTACGACCGGAAGTTGTGGTTAGCGTGTTCCTGAGGGATTCCTGATCTTTCGTGTTCCTGAATCGTTCGTCATATTTCCACCATAGTTTTTCTGTTACAGTTTGAGAGTACGAGTGCCTACCGATTGAGCATTACAGGCGTGGAAGAGTAAAGATTGTTCATGGAGCCTTAAACGGCGTGAACGCTTATACACGACATAAGCGCACACGCATGATGTGTGCTTTATTGACCTAAAGAATCTCCATCATCCCAGTAGAATTCTCCATACGAATATTGATCCAGCTTTGGAAACACCACTACCGTAAAATTGTACTTTCGGCTGCAACAAAATAAAATCAAGGATTTATGGCCACGAGGGAATTGGTTTGTGCATTCACTTCTTAATGACCTTTCTCTGGTATTGAGCTGGCCATTCGTGGCTTGCGTTACAATGATATGACCGGCACGCCCATGTAAACCAATGGAAACATCTGTTAAAGGGTACGAAACTGGTCCGTGCGACCTGGCTACCGCATCGTTAACTGTTTGCTGTAACCAAATTTATTCCAGATTTTTAGATTAGCGACAAGCGAACGATACTAAACACTTGCACGCATATAATAGTACCCCGGTGAAAAAGTCATAGAAGACATCAGGAGGGAACAAAATGTTGACCCTGTCAATGAACGCAGTTCTCGGTCGGATCTCCAGCACGGGCGTTATCATCAGCGCACCGCCCCAGAAAAACTGAATCTGCTTGCGATCGGGGTTGATGTAATTGATCATATCGGGTGTCGGGTACCTAAGTCAAGAACATTGCACTGAAAACTTGTTTTTTATCTTACGCTTAGATAAACATTAAACAGGTATAATATTATACTCGTGATGCAGCGGCCGTACAACAGTGTTCCCGCGCGTATGCGCAATATGGAACAGTGTGTACAAGTACGGCAGCAACCGGTAGCGAAGATCCAGCGCTTTGCGAACCTCCTCCATAAACGCCGGCGGCAGGTAGTTGAACATGTCCGCAGGATCATGATACCAGTTGGTGGTGGCGGAATGCGCGCGCATCAGAGGATAGAACGCCCCGGCAATCGTCCAACGGTGGCAAAGCTCTTTGGTTAGCTGAAAGTCTTCGTATTGCCCAATATTCCAGAACCCGCATACGTCCACCCCGGTCTATGCACAGCAATAATTTATGCTGAGAGGTTTGGTCAAGAGTCAAGCCGAGGAACAGTAACTTTCAAAGAACTTTGTAAAGTGTCACTTACGTAGCTATTGCCAAATAGACTATACTCCAAAATCCACTGGAATGAATAGCGGAAGTCTCGTTCGTCGGACCGAATATCACCGAACCAGCGCCCAGCAAACTGTTGGATACCGGGAAAGGATGCCGTCGACATGATCAGGGTACGCTTGGATTTAATTAACCGCGAAACACTACAATGTAGGAGAAAAAAGTGGAAATCGGCTACTTGGTCCGCAGTTAACATAATTTAAACCAATAAACAGCGTGCCGTAGAGACACGTTCAGCGCACATAAATTGTCAACTTAGAAGCGCTTATTTGTGCAACATGCGTTAAAGCAAGCATTGTACGTCGCGGTATGCCGCGAAATGGCCAGCCAGCTATAGTGCCGCATGTTGTTCAACTTGTTCCCATTGGGATAAGATAGCTTTGGCCAAGAATTTTATACTGTTAAGTAGAGCTTTAATGCTATAAATAAAAGATATAAATGTAACCTTTCATTACATAGTATAAAAACTCTTTTTCTACTTACTTGCGCACCGCTCGAGCCTGGGTTAAACCGTAGATGGCGTGCACATCGTAGTGCTTGTACGTCCGCTTGCCATCGGTATGCTGTGCATCCATACAGAGGGTTTGACTGGACAGCATCCCCGGGTGCAAACTGTCTTCCCATTCCCGAATGGCAGCTGTAATCCTCCGCTCATTATTGTTTTGTAATGAGGCCATTTGGTAATCAGGTATAGTAATGGTATTCCTAAATCCTGACTAACCGGGCAGGTACGGAGGCTTTTCATAGTCGCTGTCTGGATTACACTTAAGCGTGTACTCCCAGTGCCGTCTCCAACCCGGTACCGTGGCTTGTTCGTAACTGGCCCCGCGACCGGTTATAAACCAGGCATCTTTGGCCGGCTGATTGGTGGCAAAACACGACGGTTCGGCAATGCTTAACCAGAGTGATGAGAAAATCGTGCTTTCAGTGTCTTGGGCTGTCAACATCTCCCGCAACCAGTCTTGTGCAGCCGGATTTAGGAAATCGATATACGCTGACCGTCCGATGGCCCATGCCTAACATGGTACAAAAGCGCTATCAGCTATAGATGCGCATGCTCACCAAACTCGTCATACACAAACAAATGTTCGGGACAATAAACTAGTTCCATCACATGTAACCATAAGCTCGCATAAACAAGCTTAGAGACATACAGCATGTCTCACAGCACCATCGATTCAGCAGAAGTGAAACTGAAAAACCCATTCGCTACTTTTACCAACCTGCATTTGTTTGTCCGTAGATATAAGTTATCTGAAGGCCCGCGGTGTGGCCGAATTACCTTATTTTCCTTACGCTGTACATACCATAGTCACAATATTATTCAAGCTTTTAGCTATGGTGTGGTCGCCTTTCTCCCTACCTTTCCTAAAATTGTCCCGTTCTCTCCTAAACTCTGAGGGTGTGACGCCGTCCAAGAGCGTGCTTGTTCGTTGTCCGGCCATGTAATTAAAATACGCTGCTGTAGAGCCTTAATATAAGGATCCCCTGCTGAGCCACTGGCATCCACGTGAACGGATGGAAACTACAAAATGGAACGATCGGCAACATGGTACGCAAGCACTGGCTTCGCTTTTCAATCGCCGTCATTAAAAAAGCCCTTACGATGATGCCACCGTATTTTATGCCCATGCTTTCGGTTCGGCCGGTACTGATTTCATGGAAACCGGTATAGTTCGGGCTCAACGTGAACGGTTGACGATCATCCATGTCTGCGAAATCATGCTTGTCGATAATACACTGGAGTCGCTTTAAACTGACTGTGCTTACAGTTGATGTCCACGAAAACCATATCAAACGGTATTCTCTGGTCGCGATTGCGGGTAATCAGATTCTCGGTGTCCGTGACGGAATCCATGCCCCATTTACCAATCTGGAAGCCCAGTGCCCAGTACGGCGGCATGAACGTCCTTCCTACCAACTACAATATAAGCCTTAAAAGCTCGTGATACGGTGCATGAAATGTAGTGAAATGCAGTACATTAGTATACTGCTGAACGACTTCTTCCGGGGTCGGACCAAAGAAGATGTAAAAGTCCAGAATCCCCCCCGACGGTTCGCCATGTTATCGTTTTGCCGGGAAGAAGCGTGTAATCTGCAAAGTGTACCTCAATTCTGAAGTGCTCTGCTTTTGTGTGTCATCTAAATCAGCCTATGATCGGTTCACGTGTCCTTGTATTAGGCAAAATACTACGGTATTCTCACCCATTGCATTACTGTTGCGCAGGAAAACCCCGTGTGCCCGCCCGTCGTTCTCGATGACCATGTAAAACGGCTGAAATCCGTAGAGATTTTTCGATTTAGCTGAGTCACGCGATTCCATCATGAGAATGTCCACGTCACGATTGAAGATGGCCCATGTGTACCAATCCAGGCTACGGTTCAGACTGCCCAGACGGTTGTCTCCTAATAAGCCGCAAAAGACTCGTACAGTATAAACACAATTACTATTCGCATACGTATTCAACAGTACATTAGTATTCCGCACTGAATTAAACAGCGTTTTACCTTTTTAACCTTATTATTCAGCGTTTTCTTTTTTTAACCTTTTTACCTTCAAAAAATATTTTCAGTGTCTACCTAATCCAAATAAGTTCTCCGAGGGCAGTTTCGTGGAAAACTGGAGAAACTGGTCTTGCAAGACCAGTCCACCTAATGAAGTATCCAGGCTGTAAAACATCATGAAAACAATATGTAAAATCATAAGGTAAGTGACTGCAGACCAAGAGCGTAGATATGCAGATCGATGTTTTCAGCGGAAAATCCGGAACAACTACGAGAACGCAGAACACCGATAAACACGTACATTGCCGACTTGGATCCAAATGATTTCCGATACACAGCAAACGCGAAAGGGTCGCCATCGTCATTGATGATGCTGATTTCATACGGCAGTTTACGAACGTCGAAATCCATCCGGACATTATTAACCGCTACGGGCACTTCGTAGCGGTCTGCATCATCCTTATCAAACAGCTACGAAGTTGTCAATGAAGTTAACTTCCACGTTTATGTACCGATTTTTTTTCGGTAATTATTATGGTACGTGTATACATCAACATGTATACTTTATACATAGCAGACGGTATTTTTATTACGCGTACCACTATGCCACCGCAATTACGGAAGAATAATCAGTAGTTTTATTTTACGCCTAGTCATTCCAAAGATGAACCGTAGTTTCGTAACTGTACCTGGAAACGCAGAGTATCTTCGGATAAATAATCCGATCGAAATGCCGGTGTCCTAAACACGCGCGTCGAACGTTGCGGATCGAAGACGATCGGTTTGTGAATGGCCCGTAGCACGCCCACGCTGGACCAGTTTCCCGGTTGGTACGCTTTCGCATTCTGCATAGTGTAACCGACTTTCTTCGGCGACATATAGCACACAGGAGGTCCAAACTTCCGCCCATCATCCGTCGGGAGATCGTCATCCCGGAACTGACACCCGCGATCCCGGCACGCCTCCCAACTGAACTGGCGGGCTTCCCTCCCGCGCTTATCCGGCGTACAACTGATCCGCAGATTCACCTCCACAAAATCCAGAATTTCCGGTACCTTATGTTGCGCTAGATGTTTTAATACGGCTAAGGTGACACGGGCCGTTGCGCCGATAATGCACAACACAAACATGGACCCGGCGATCCAGCGGTACTTCTTCGGGATGACGAAGGGGAACTTTTCCGCTGGGTCGACGGGAACGGATGCGGCGGTGCGTGCAGTTGAAGAACAAACCGGTTCAGGCTCGTTGTATAGTGCGGCGTCGGAATTCGCGGTGGAGTAGATGTCAGAGACGGATGTTGTGGAGTAACCGTCCCGGTCCAACGGGGAAATGTGCTCGTAGATATGTCCTGGGCGGGGTTCGTCCAACGGCTCGTCGGTACAGGATTCAGCGTAGCTCGTGTTTGTGGAATCGGTGAAAATATCGACGTAATCGTTACCGTTGCGGTGCAGGATTCAGCGTAGATGGTGTTGGTGGAATCGGTGAAAATATCGACGTAATCGTTACCGTTGCGGTGCTGTACAGACGTGGATTGTCGATCCCATGAAGCCATAATTTTGTGTTAGGTTCAATGTACTTGTTTTTAATGAAGCAGGGAACATGTGTGGTTACTGTTAGAAATGGTAGAAAAAGTGTAATACACATCTACAAATATTTCAAAAGGTAGAAATGTTGATGTTAAATTTAGCAATAGTATAACTGGTGCCAGCATATCTGCCCTTGAAGATTTGAGTGTCAGTACTGCTTATCGGTTATTATAATAATGGAGAATTTATTGTCTTCGTGCGACGGCACAGAGCCGGTTTGCAGCAGTGGACAATGAGACAAAGATTATACAATGAAACGCAGGATGGAGAACAAGAAACCTGTTTGCGATATAATAACGTATAAACAATACTAGGCAGAAAATTAACAAGAAACAAATCATTAAAGTATAAAAACAAAGAACAAGCACGATAAAGTGATAAATCAATGAGCAAAACATCGAAAACAAAAAGACATTCAGAAATGTAAATATTTTTTCGACCAATGTAGATCTTTCCATTTCACACGCTCCAAGGATGAGCGAAAGGTTCCGAGAGATTTGTACGAGCCAGGGGGAAAGGACACTTCATTCCAAAGAGACGTGAGCTTTTCGCTAAAGGAGCCGGGGACAGGAGTAACTGTTACGCCACACACAGTCGTTGGTGATGGACAGAGAGGGAGATAGTGTCGCTCAAGACGGTGGAGGCCGCGTGTGTTACCTGAAACAGATTCAGACAAGGCGGCAGACACTGAATACTTAGAGAAGAATGCACTGCTTAACGGAATCATTCCGAAAACAAGTTTATACACAAAAACAAGAAGTTTTTTTGCAGTCCTAATCCTGAAGCTGTCCCAATTAAGTTCTTTTAAACGGAGCTGATAGTCAGAAGGATCACTGCCAAGGCGGACCGACGATAAAAATTTTTCAATACAGTGCTCTACTTTGTCTTTAGAAGTTTTATACAAAGGAAAAACAGTTGGCCCGCAGTAATCCGTAACAGGAAAAACTAACGATTTGAAAAGTGCGATTCGCGCTCCAGAATCACGGAAACGAAACAAGGAATTAATATACCATATTCTTTTTTTACATTTTGCGGTAAGTTTATCTGCGTGAATTTTAAACGAAAGTTCACGGTCAATTTCGACACCCAAATGTTTTGTGTTTTCACAAAAGGGAATTAATTTGCCATCAAGAAAAAACTCACTTTTGACATTTACAAAACGCTTTTTCGAGAACTGCATGTGAACTGATTTTTCTGCATTGAAGCAAAGACCTTTGGATGATGCCCATTCAAACAGACAATTAAGATCCTCTTGTAAAAGGTCACTACTGTTATCAGCGACTAATGGACGCAGCACGACCATATCATCGGCGAAAATTAAGACAACGCTACCGTTAATGAGTATGAATGGCACATCGTTCAGAAGACATATGAATAACAAAGGCCCTAATACAGATCCTTGCGGTACACCACTTGTTACTTTGAAAAATGCTGAGAAGCAACTGCCGACAGAAACACACTGCGTACGATTTTTCAAATAATCAGAAATTAAATGTATAACCTGGCTGGGTACGTTAAGGTTTATAAGGGCGGTGACAAGGCTTTGATGGTCGCATTTGTCAAACGCTTTGGAACAATCAAGAAAAATAGCGGCTACTTCGATGCCATTGTCAAGAAAATCGGAGACTGTTTTTACGAGATAACAAATCTGTAATTCAGTAGACCTATGCCGACGGTAAGCAAACTGATGATCACCTAAGGCTGAGTACACGTTTAAGTGATCTCGTATTGTTTCGGATAAACAACGTTCAAAAATTTTAGAAATAGGGTTCAGCATTGAAATTGGGCGATGGCTGCTCGGAAGAGCCAAATCACAACCTTTCTTCGGAATGGGAACAATGTACGCCCTTTTCCATGCTGCCGGATAAACACCTTCGTTTAGCACTGCATTGAAAACCAACTTTAAAGGCTGGACAATTGAACCTCCGGCAGCTTTCAACAATTTATTTGTCACTTCAAAATTACCACTGGATGTACATGAGGAAATCAAAGAAAGCTGAAGAAGGATCATGGAATCGTCAAACTCAACTCTCGAAAAATTTTTACATGCTAAATTCAGTCCTGTATCACTGCAGTGCTGTGTGCACGCAGAGTGGGAGGCACAGTACTGCTCATTAAGAACTTCGGCTTTTTCGGATTCTGAATTTGCAAACGACCCTGCATTTCGTTTAAGCGGAGGAATTGACTGAATGCTCTCTCTGGATTTCATAAACCGCCAGAATTTACCTGGATTATTACGATAACTATTCGCAACTTCAACGATTCGGTGACTTTCAAATTTATTTAGAGCAATTTCTGCGTTTTTCGAGAGTTGCATCCATTTTTCTTTTTGGACGGAGCGCACTGACGGAAAAACTGCAGATCGATAACGTTTAAAAGCTCTGTCTCGCGAGCGTATCATTCTCTTGATAGTATAGGGATAGCGAGGCATGCCTATTTTTACACTCACTTCATCAAACACAAACACTGATTTGGCAAACTCAAGAAACTTTTGCTCGAAAACAATAGCCCGTTCTTCGGCAGTAATATTATTAAATTCCCTGCACCAATCAACATTATTTAAATTTTCTCGAAAAACATGAATATTGGCAGTATCTATAGTCCATTTTTTAAATTTGCGCGTTTGGGCTCTTCCTATTTTTATTTTTAAATCAAACTGTAAACCCACATGATCGTTTGATGTGGATGGCGGAGCAACAGAAATAATGTTAGTGCACAAATGATCAGCTGAAACGAAGCAGAGGTCAAGACAATTTCTTTTCCTAGTAGGAAAATTAATTAACTGTCGAAAATTAAACATTTTCACTGAAGACAAAGATGTTTACCGGCTTTCGAACGCGCGAGCCTAACTGCCAGTTTATGTCTGGCAAATTAAAGTCGCCCAGGAGAACAGTTTTGCTAAGCATAGGGGAGAATTTGTCGTGCAGGTGTTCGATTAGCACTGAGGAGATTTGTCGGGTGGAGAATAAAAGACGATAAAGATTTTATTTAGGTCACCAGACTCGACGCAAATTGCTTCTGAAGGCTCTAGATCCTGCGCCTGTGCGCTTCATAACGTTGCGAATAACTAGAGCGACACCACCAGAGTCATAAACCTTGCTTTCCTGAAAACATTGAAAGAGCGTTGATCAGCAAAGAGAATCCGTGTAATGATCTTTGTCTTTTAGTTTCCACAAGACCGGTAACGTCAGATTCAGAGCAAAACATCTTGATTTGGGCACTTTTCCTTTAACGCCGTTTATGTTACAAAAGCGAATGCGAACGGATCCGCGACTGCGTTTACGTGAAAAATTAATATGAACAGGATTTATATAATTAACTGTCAGATTGTCAGGAGGGATTACCGGTTTTTTTGAATGTTATTATTGTAAAAGTACCGCGAATTTCGGAATTCATTATAAGTATGGCACAGCGAATGATTAAAAGCTGAGTGCTGGTCGTGCGGCCTTTTAATACCTTTTTCAGCACAATTCACACATGTACAATTAAAATCGTCGGCTTCCTTACAATCAGCAGCGGCATGCAGTTCGGTACAGTATGCACAGCGCGGGGCGCTTTTACATTTTGACACTGTATGCCCGTAAGCACAACACTTTTTACATTGCGGGATGTAAAAATGATCTTCAATCGGACACACAAACCAACGAATCAGCAGAGATTTTTTCATTACCAAAAGGCCGTGGCTTACACTGTCGACGTCCAAAACCACAGCACACGTGGTAACATTATCTCGAAAACTTTTCAGTTTAGTCACAATTTTAACTGTGCAGTCAGCGGCAAGTTTATTTTTGAGGAGAATTTCATTTAAAAGGTCGTCATCCGGTAAATCAATTGGAACACGGCGCACAATCATTCTGTTCAAGCGAATTTTCGGTTCAACTACCTCAAAACCAATTGTGCTTACACTTTTGCTTAAAACATCCTTACCATTTTTGGCGCTTTCGGTGTCACTGAATTCCAGAAGAACACCTTTTCCGTGGATGGGTCGCATATGGGATACATTCAAGTCAAAAGCCGCACCCGGAAGCGCATTACTCAGTGCGGCTGAGATTTTGGCCATTTCAGCGGCAGTGGTGCGAGAACGGTCACTGGACGGTGTAGTAGGTTTCAGGATGAGGGCTGGTGGCCTTTCACTTGTGTTAACGGAATAAGCACGGCTTATTCCGCTAACACCTAATGTGGCCTGAGGCGGAAGGGGGTTAGATCGGGTAACGGAGGCAAAGGAACGCGCCGGATGTGCTGCAAGTTGCGTAGGCGCTGTTGATGATAACGGCATAGAAGTGACATTTGAATGATCAGGAACAACAGGAATTTCCGGCCAGTTATGTTGGTAAATAGCCCGCAGACGATCAGTTATGATGTACAAAGAATCAACTTCAGCGGCAAGAAGTCCATACTGTGCGGTTGCGGTATCGGATGATTCACATTGCGACAATCGAGCGGCAAATTTATCAATCTGACTCAAACATTCATCGAAATTCAGCATTTTTAATTTATCGGGTGGTAGCAATGTATTATCCCCCATGGTTGGGGGAAAACAAACTGAAATTAATGCAATCGGATTGCACACAATACAGTAAAGGTCACTACTCCATCATACAGGACACACACAGAGCACACGGTATATGCAATTGTATACGATGACCCAGATAATCGTTGCTTTGGCTGAGAGCTAGAAAAGTTAGATCCGCACTCGAGCTGTCCAAAGCGAGAATGAGCTGTCCAAAGCGAGAATGAGCTGTCCAAAGCGAGAATGCTAATTTTTCAATACAGGAAAATTGATCAACGAGCTCAACCAGCTTAGGATAAACTCGTATGCCAGTTCATCCCTGCGAACGCGAATGAACCAGTGGAAACAGTACCGCAGTTTCTGCTCTAGCTACAGGCTACAAGCTGTCCCCGCTACAAGGTTCGTTGTCTGTAGAATACCGTGATACTGATAACGCTTGTATTATTACGCTTCTTCATTCGGAAAAAAAGCCGCACCAAGGAATGTCCTGTGTTAATCAAAATTAGGTCAACATTTGCTCATTGACTTATCAGTTGTTTGATGTTGATTTCCGCAGTCAGCCGGGTTTCTTACACTTTCAGGGTGTCGATAACCTGATCTCGTGCGTGGAAACTGGAGAGTGGAGAATGCAAGTGCGTAGTGGTACTTACTTGGCTGTAATAAGAATCACAGTCGATAACGATAATTCTTTGTTAATACTGCATCTATCAGTAATGCTAAACAAGGACCGATACGATACAACAGTACGTTGTAAGAGTGCAGTGTATAATTTACAATTATTAATTACGGGTTCAACTCATTTGTAGTTATGATGTGCTTTTATAGGTACCATAGCAGAAAAATTCAAAAAATATAAAAACCACTTACTTACCACAGATAATTTATACCGACTGCTGATATTGTTGTAGCAACTATGTAACAACTGTTAGGCTCAGGTCCATCACGAAGATTTAGTCGTTATGTTTGTAGTCGTATTATATAATTATATTAAATCCAACATTCAAGGAAACTTTTTATAAAACTCGGTCGGCAAAACGTGCTTCAGCGTTTGGTACAACGTATTGTACGTCTAACAGGGGATGAACGGCTAGTTCACCCCTGTGGGCGAACAGAAACGGAAACTGAACGCCAACACTGCACACTTTATCTCTCTCTCACACACAACACTTCAAAGGCCACCGCAGCACCTTGCTGCGGGGCAAAAAGGAAAAAGCATACAGCTCAGACGACGAAATCTAGCAACTGAAGAATCTACCAGATTCTAAATCTGGTAGATCGAGAAAAACACCAGCAAAAACAGCAAAACAACCTAGCAGCCGCCTGTGCGCGGGTGAACGGGGAGGCCACTCCTCCTCACATACGTATGTTATATACGTAATTGTAAGTATGTGTTGTGTACGTTTTTTTGTATGTTATTTGTACGTCGTTATTTGTACGCTGGTTTTTACCTATCTGCTACTGGGTATGGTTTTGGCAGCGCATTTTGCACTGTAATGATTACCATTACGAGATCAGCCCGATTAGTACGAAACTTATACATAGTCAGTTTTCAAGAAATTTGACATCCTTTTACGCCGTACTTATGCCGTGCTATGATCCAGCATATTTCCTTCAGTAACAGACAGTCAAGGCGTTTGTACAAATACTCGACGACGAGTTACAGTATACAAATATTCGACGAGCTTCCTTAGCTTTTTCATTTTTGTACAGAATCCACACCAGGCAAATGTGCCGATTGCTTAAGCGATTAAATCCTCACTGACAAAATCCATTACATCTATGTTCACAAACTATCCTGATTACGCAAAAAGGATTCTACGTGTACAGTTAATGTTAGCAGCAGGTTAATGCAAGGAATGGAAGCAGGATCAATTAACGGGCTCCACGCCGCCGGCAGCCGGATCAGGATGAATCGCTCGGGATGCATCATCCCATGACCTTTTTGTCAACCAATACAACCTAGATAGTAGATACCTACTGTACTAGACACAGGGAACAAGAGATTTTGTAAATGTAAAAAAAAATATGATCGACGGAACGATGAGTCCTCCTGGAAACTTGTTATACGACATTCGCTGTATAACGAAAAAAGGTTAAGATGACAGCATCATCGAAAAATATGTGCCGGAAATGTCCCGCTATCACTCGATATGCGTATAGTGCATCATCACTGTGCATGTTAACCGTGCACTTCGAGATGTAAACTGTGAAGGTCTGTTAAATTATGGCAACAGTTTTATTACGTTAATCATCCTTTGTTGTCAAAAATTTTTGCATTTGTTATTCTATACAAATACGTTTATTTGACCGAAGCGTAGCGAAGGTCCTCTATGTTCAGCGATAATGGAAAAAGTGATGTCTGTCCGTCGGTCACCGCCACCAAATGCACATGTGCACTGGGGCGTTTGGTACCAAGTGCACACATGCGCGGTGGCCGTATATACTCAGACCACTTGCAAATGAAGATGTCTGTCCGTCGGTCACCGGCACTAAATGCACTGGGGTGTCTGATACTAAATGCACACATGTGCGGTGCGCCGGTGGCCGTATATATTCGGACCGTTTGTAGCTCGTGCTGTCTGTCCACCGGTCACTACCACCAAATGCACCTTTACACTGTGGTTTTGGAATGAAACACATAAACATGGGCCCTTGTATGAGAGTAGTAACCAAAGGCTCCGGTTAGCCCCGAAGTGCCGCCTTAAACCTTCTGCTATACTGCCTATTAATAAATAAAATTTCCCAGTGTGCTATTCGTAAGAGGCAGTGTCTGTCAGTGCAGGTCCACATCGTATCGCAGGCTCCAAGCGAATCTAAAACCTTTCATCGGACAGATCGCAAAACTTTCAGCTGGATAAACTGCCTCCGACAAAACACTGAAAGAGCTGCTCTTCGTTTAAAGGATTACTGCACGAGTAATCAACGAAAAAGTAGCGTTATAAAAGTGGCGCGCCACAATTGGACGGCGGGATTGCTACAGTTTGCCCAACCGTGCACTTAACTGACAAACCCATCCGAGAAATACACTGTATCCGCCCGATACAGTAGATTCTTTCGATACGAGTACCGATACAGTGGACGACTTTCAGGTCATGGCGTAGTCTTCCCTTGCCGGATACTCAGCACGAGCCTTTCTCCCACCGCACGGCACACACGCTGCTTTTGGTGTGCATATAGTGTGCGTACACTGATTGAGAGCTTGCATCTTCCGAGCAAATTGTGCATGCTGTGCCTGAATTTTTCGTATACTACACTGAGTATATTCTGTGGTAGAAGTCTATCGGTGGATAATTTACTGCTGAATGATCCTGCGCTTAAACCGGCTAAACCGTTCGCCAATCCAGAAAAAACATTTCCGCAAATTTTGCCGTCTACATTATTTTACTTTTCGATGCGACCAACTGGACTTCCACCAGTGAAAATTCCTGAAGAAAACAGTCACACAACAGCGTGAGAGCGTGAACGGACAGTTTTCACAATGCACGGATGCGTCTGTGAAAAATGTGCATTGTCCGCCCTGTCACCATTACGAAAACGGGAACATTTGGGTCAGATGAATCAGACGGGAACATTTGGGTCAGGCTATTGCATGACCGCATCGAAACGGCCGGAGTGTTCGACATCCCTTTCATAGGTTTTCTCCTATGCTTCGACTGCTGCCTTTATTCCCTTGCCTTACTTTCCATTATCTGGGCTCTCTAGATAAAACAGCCGCAAACTGCCCATACTGTCAATGCTGCCGGAAGTGCGCGCAACCGACCTTGTGCGCGGTTACATTAGTACTTGCAGTTTTGCATGTTTTATCTAGAGGAGCCCAGATAAGGGAAAGTAAGGTGAGGGGTTATAAGCAGTAGTCGAAATATAGTTAGCGAGCTAGCCATGCCGCTGAAATTGCGCTCGCTATAGTATACGTCAATCGTGTAATCCTGCTACGCTTCGGTCATGCAGTGCCCGCAAAAAGCGAGTGCACTTTCCTAGTATACGATATGTCAGTATAACGTTTCTTTAACTTAACATTTTGTTTTGGTACCTGATCATTTCATATTTCTGTGTAATTTGTCTGCATAATACAGAGTGCGTATGGAAACTTCAACAAGCAGAGCCAACGGTTTTTTTATTGTTTTTTTCCCCAAGCGAGCGATCGAGCGATTCCCAACATTACGGCCACGATTTTTTGCGTCCAGATACTCAAGCATATTATTTGTAATTAAACCTTGAAAATAGTCTCTTAAATAAATTGCGGAGAAACTGAAAAGAGTAATAAAATAAATGTATAGCCAGTATCAAACATAATAAATTTCATGGTACAGTGCATACTGCGTGTGGATTTGATTAGCCAGCCGTGATAAATTACGCGCCCTGTCCTCTACTCCGATTTATTACTAGGTATATGTACCCCATCCGTGTTTTGCCATTTCCGAATCCAACGTCATCAAATGTAGCGCGCGAAGCTGTTCAGTCGGGTGCGGTGTTTGCCGGAAAAAGCCGGCTGGCTTGCCAGTAGAGCGCCCAGGCTGATGGAACGCGGGAAGGACGGTTGCGGGGCCGTCGGCAGGGTCGCCGTCTCGGGCATCACCGGTGGGCTCAGGCGGTGCACGTTGCGGAAGAGGGCGCGCAGGCTCTGCTGCGGCGTCAATCCGTTGGCCATGAATCTCTGCAGCAGTCAGTATATGATATTTGTTACGGCATCGGATGAAATCTACCCAACAGTTATTGTGCGATGCCAAGCAACAAACGTATTTACAGTACTTCGTATTCAATACATCCTGCGCAACAAGCGCTCGCTCCTCGAACCAAACCCGATGCAGGCGATTTGTGCGCAAATGGATCTGCTTCTACTTCACACTGCTAGACGATTTCAGTATTACTTACTTTTTCTATCGCGGACCGGTAGGCAGATTGCTGTTGTTCTGCGCTTAGTATATTACAAGCGCATTTGTTGCACAAAAGATTCCCAAAAATAATGCGAATAACCCGACACTTCACTTGTAATAGTATTATCAAACTACCCAGTATGTTCTCAGGTGCAAACACATTCGACGAAGGAATGCTCAAAGATTACGGATATGCTCTGCACATTTTTAACGTATACCTCACAATATAATAAGATATTTACGTTATTTAAACAGCCATGACAGGATTTAATAAAGTAAATAAGGTTTTGTTCATTAGCACAACCACAGTCGATTCAAGCTCAGTCAATTCCCAATACGGTAAATGAAAGGTCACGTGGTTTTCGGCCCTCATACAGAAGACTGGCTTTCGGAGAAAACTATAGAAAACATACGCAGCCGCTTTCCTTATTTAAGATAATCGCACTGGCGCAATGCTCGCATAAACGATTATCCCATATTAGGACATTGCACCTAGTTGGTCGGTTAGTTACGCCACGCCGTAATCCGGCAAGGACTGACCTTTTTCGGCGGTGCAACGGTCTCGGCCGCCTCCTCAACATCTAGGGGACGCGGCGCCGCGCTGAGCAGACTGGCCAGCGTAAAGTCATACAGCGCATCATTCCCACCTGGAAAATCCCAGGCGGTACGCTTCGCGGCGGGATCCTCACCCGGTACAGGGTTACCGGCACCCTCCTCCGCTGCCGCACACCGGCAGTACACCGTCATATACAGCAGCCATATGGCAAGATGGGACTTCATCTCACCGCCGAAAAATATCCGTTTCAACGCGGAAAATGGTGGAGAAAAGATCGTGATGGAGAGTTTAAAAGCCGGCACAACGGCAGAAGGTCACCGCAACTGCCGATGGTGCAGGATTGAGAAGCACTGGTAATTTCGGGCTAATCTGATCAGAGATGGATAATGTTTTAATGGACAGGTTTAGTTGCCAGTTCAGTAGCTACTCTGTAGTTGCACGTCATAGAACAAGGACAGCCAAATGTAGGCTTAAAAATGTAATCGCTTAAGTTGTTAACTGATCTCGGACGTGCATGTCAGGTTCTCCTTGGCATGAGTTCCCGATCTCAATCGACAGATGGTGATACGCGCTTTGTATTACGCAGTTTGTGAGAGAAGCTTTGACATTTTGCCAAGACTTAAGTGTTGTAATCAGCCTTCTGGCGGATAAACGGGATTCACGGGGAAGATAGATCAATGATGCGCCAACACACGATTGAGTTTACACTGTTCGTTTGGCAGTCTCAACGAGCTGCGGCATTATGCTTCCAAATTGCGTTATATGTGGTCGGTCAGTAAATTTATAGCATTTTACGAGGTATCTCTCTGCCGATGTATTATTTTAAAAAAAACTGCCAACTTCAAGGTAAAGACTGGATGAGAGCACTCGCCATAACTCGAATCAGTTGAAAATAAAAGAATAAGCCCTAATTCAAAATGAATTTTATTTCCCAAATATGAAAATCGCAGAATCAGTATTTAACAAGGCAAATTAATCACTGTAAGAAACAAAACGCACAGCAGAATGTAACAGCTAATATCTATGCAGCAACGCACCTCGCTAAGAAGTTTTTTTTAAAACAAATGCAGTTTATCCTCAAATGGTCCTTAATGCACGCTGTAGGTACAAATTGAACTCTATTCTGTCAAAACAAGAAGTGCAGAAAGTGATTTATATGACGGCGTCATACATTAATGCTGTTAAAGTATGAAAGATATTCTTCATATTCTCCTGTCGATTTTTCCGCATCGATCCGAATGACGCGAGTCATGCGCATGGATGCATAACCGTGTAAGCGAGCAGAAAAATCAAATACACCAATTCCCTTAACTGACCTTAAGCGTTATCCGTTTAATAGTCCGCTCCCGGCTACAGGTTTGGTATTGTACTGGCGCGAAGCAGGTAGTTTCTATCTCGGATTCACAATGGCTTGCAAGTCATCCGCGTCAAATGTAGTGATCGCCCCAAGTAAAGTTCAACAAACTTTATGATGGCAGCGACACGAGGTGAGAGCGCCGCACAATTACTCATACTCAATGCTGCTGGCCTGCTACAAAGCGAACGATGCTGTTCAGTCCACTGGAAACGTTACGGTTAACTGAAAAGCTGTAAGTATTTGAAAGCATACTTCGTACAGAAAAGGGTTTAACCAAGTCATCGTAGTTCATTATTTCCACACTTTAAGCAAATTCAAACAAACGGAAATCCGAGGGAAAAGCTAGTTACTATACATTAAAACAGAAATCGTGAGAGCTATCAGTCAAAGTGTTTATTGCGCACAAGCCATCAGTGTAGCAAAAGGTGCATTCAGTAAAACTACATAAAATGATGCAAATTTAAAAGTTAAAGAAACCGCCCAAATTGCTGGCGCCGTCCGACATTTTAGGACGCATGTTCAATGCGTCCAAAACAGCAGCCGCGCGTAGCCAAGATTACCTTTGCCTCCTGTAGTGTAGTGGCTACGCGCCATATTAGCGCGTAGCAACCCGCATGACTGTTGACCTGTAGAGGACGCATTTTATGTGGTACTACGAGTATTCCATTATTATCATTATTACTCAGTATCTATCCGGCCAAAGTGGCACAATAAACACACGTGCCAAGACGTGACACCTCCCCTTTGCCTTTTCACTATGCCTTTTTCAGCTGAATGCGGCAACAGTCGGCAAACCAGACCTTGGGTAGCGTGAATCGAGGCCAAATAGGCCGGCAAAGATAATTCCTCTACCCGTCGGATCCCGAGCCCACCACAGCGCACTGGAAGGGAAGCTTGACGCCACGCGGATGTGTCCATGCGCACATTGCAGATGGACTGCAGCGACTCTCTAAGAACGTCGTCAAATTCGATGAGACTGTCTCGTGCTTCGAAGGTTGGGCAGCAGCGTAAAAGGTGAATAACCTTTGGCGCGCTGAGACTGCACTTCAATAAGAAGTAAGCTTGGTGTTTGGGTAACAGGTCGAGACGATTAGCAATTAGGCGCATAACTTCAGTTTTCTGCTGTATCGCTGACGTGATGCCGTTCTTCATCAGTGGAGCACCCAACAGACAGAGGTTTTCCGGTGCAGCAACTGAAAAGCATTACTTTAGAAAAAGCATTACTTTAGAAAAAGTCGGCATCCGTAATCTGGTTAATGATTAGCGATGTTGTACAACGGGACATAGTGCTTTCAGTGCCGGATATTGCAATAAATGGGCCAAAGCATCACTAACAATTCAGAAGTTAGGATCACAGCCCACAGGCTATAATTGGCTTCACTTTAACGGCTTTAACGTGTGACGGTATGCAATTTAACCTTGATAAGTACGCATAGATTAAGTTGACCTGATTCCGCCAAAAATAAACTATAGAAAGGAATACATTTGGTTTTGAAAAATTGTCTTAGTGAAAAGCGCTGCTGCGACCATTCTGCATCAGTATTAATAACTACTGGGTAGTACGTTTTTCAGCATCGTTTGGTAAATGTTTGATACTTTCCCAGTTTATATTTTGTACGCTGTTTTTACAGCAATTTTTTTGCCTTATTAAGTAAGTACTATATTATTCTGCGATTTTTCATATGCATTCGGGCAATAAAATTAATGTTGAGTAAAGGTTTATTCTTTTATTGTTATTTGGCTTGATTATCAATCGCCATGCTTTCATTCAGTCATTGGCTCGAGTTTGACAGATTTTTGAATACTGCAGCGGCAGCGAGATACCTCGTGGTATAATGCGATACATTTACCGACCGAACGCATAATACTGCAATTTGGAAGTATATACATGTACCGGTTGGCTGAATAAAATGGCGGTCTCATTTAAACCGTCGCATTGGGTCCGTCCATTGTTCGATTGCCTTATTCTCAATTTCATTCGAAAGAGCAATGTTTACCGCATACAAAAATTAAACTCGGATTATATTAGCCAGAGGTTTGATTTTATCTTAAGTTATTTTTAAAAATTGGGCAGGTTTTGATGATGTCCTGAAAACGGAAATCTGAAATTACCTTATTATATAAATTAAAAACTGCTGTTGTTCAGCAAAGAGCCTTAATGTAACTTACGTTGCTGTTTCGGGTTGAGGGGTGGTCTCTAGTTTTTCTGATACAAAGAACTGTTGTATTCTAGTAACCGTGTTTGGCCAATACACGGAATGACGGCGATTAGGCACGGGACAATTCTCATGAAATTCGTAAGCAGAGATTTTGATAGTAAATTTCTGGCCAGCCCTTCAGAAGATTATCTGGTTCAACACTGCCTCTGCAAGTGCAATAATACATTAGCTATCTGTACTGTAAAAAGCTAAAACCGGCATTTTTTGGTGCAGTCCGTAATGCGGCGAAAAATTAGATTAATACTCCTAAAAATCAATTAAAAAACTAGCATTTTTTTGGAAAGTTACAAACTGTCCTGACTGCATAACCCTTTCTGTGAATGTACGATGTGACGGATGACTACAACTTTTTTTTATAATCAAAGTAGACGTCATGCTCTAGATAAAACACTGGAAAATTTTTAAAAAGTACGTACGGGAAGGCAGTGTTACGAGATTCTGGGTTTTCAGACCTGGGACACGAAAACTTTTTACGCGATTTCAAATGGCTCCAGTGCAAACGAGCACGACTAAACATTTTTAAGAACGCTTTGCTGATTTTTGTAGTTGAATAAATTCTCTATCGAATGAGCTTTAGCAGTTTGCGGTGCGACAACTGGCCCGCAAGAGACAATCGAAAATCCGAGACCGCCATTTTGTTCAGCCACCCGGTAACTGTAGCCGCTCGATGAGACCGCCCAACGAACAACGTAAAGTCCGTAAACCCATTCGCGTTTTTGGTGCATCATTGATTTCTTTTACCCTTTTATCCACCAGGAGGCTGATTGCAGTGCTTATACTTTTGCAAAAGTTGTTAAACCCCTTTTCTCTCAAATTGCGCAAACTGCGAATATTGCATCTGTCGATTGGGATCAAGAATTAATGTCAAGAGGTTCTTGACATGCGCCTCCAAGAACAATTAAAAGTTGAAATTTTTAAGCCTGCGCTTGCCTGAATTTGTTCTACGAATTGCAACTGGCTATTCAACTGGCAATCAGATCTGTCCATAAAAGCTTATTGTGTCTGATCGAATTATCCCAGAATTACCGCTGCTTCTAATCCCATGTAATTGCCATTTGCGGTGACTTTCTGCCTTCGTGCGTATAGGTGCCGGCTTTTAAACTGTCCATCCCCATCCCTTCTTTGCAGTTTTGCCCACCAAAACGGATCTTTTTCGGCAATGAGACGAAGTCCGATAATGCCATATGGCTACAGTGTTTCCCGGTGTACTCCCGGTGTGTGGCAGAGGGGGAGGGTGCCGGTAACCTGTAACCGGGTGAGCCCCCCCCCCGGTCAACGCTTGGGATTTTCCCGGTGGGAATGATGCACTGGCCAGCCTGCTCAGGACGGCGCCGCGTCCCCTAGATGTGGAGGAATCCACAGAGACGATAACCAGATCAGTGACCGTTGCACCGCCGGAAAATTTCAGTGGTTGTCGGATTGCGGCGTAACGTAATAAACCGGCCGGTTATAAGGGCACCGTGAAGTTTGTGATGTTCGTACAGTATGGCCAGTACCGATTGGTAGTTGTACCGTAAGTAACATGGTCCGCTGTGTCGTACCATAATAATTTCTAACTACTGGTACTACCGGTACTGGTGCTGATCTACTGGTACTGGTGCTGATCTTTTCTACAAACGCTTCGGTCGATCAGTCCTATGTGTAAACTCTTAGAATTTGCCAGAAATGGCAAGCCGGCCAAACTAGGATATAGCTGTTATTTCATCACCTTAAATTAATTACAAATTAAACAGCGCGTTACATAAAAGTACATAACAGATTATTACATAAAAGATTCTAA